GCCTGATTCAGAAGAATAAAAGACATATCTTCCTATTTGACCAACACAGACTCATTCATAGAAGAAGAACTTACCTCAGCAAGCATCCTAAAAGATCTAAAAAGTAGATATCCTAGCAAAATAAGGCAAGGCTTGAAGAAAGTCATTTGCCTGATTCAGAAGAATAAAGATGTCTCAGAATACAAGAATGAGATATTTAAATTGTTAGACACAAGAGATATTGTGTGTAAAAGATTGATCAATTATTTTTTATTACATTTCTGTGACCAAAATGAAGAGAAAGAGCGTGTTTATGAAATTTACACAAACACACTTTTAAAAGATTTGAATGATTTGGATGAAGAAATTAAGAATTCTGCATTAATTTTTCTGATAAATTTTCTACGTTAGGATAATTGAAATTTTTACTCATTCTTGAAAGAAGAATTTTTGATTTTTCTGGTGGTATTTTTAATTTTTCACAAAAATCTTTTATTTCTTCATTTGATTTTTTTACTTTTTCTTCTAAATTATCAATAAATTCGTGTGCTTCTTCGTAAATCTCATTAAATTTGTAAATTAATTGGTTAATTTCTTTCTTTAACTCAAAATTACTTTTAATAACCTCTTTTCTGCACTCTTCTTGTTTAGAAACTGTGTCTAACAAATTAATTTTTTCTTCTATGAGCATAAACTCTTCTTCTGAAGGAAAGTACTGGTAAAGCACTCTTATAAGATTGTCATTTACACTATTATTAAGCATAACCTCATTTATAATCTCTTCATCTGTGTTGTTTATCCTAGAAAATGCAATGTTAATTGCATTATACTTCTTTATTTCTAGCAAGAAGGTTGTTTCTGTCTTTGGTTTAGGTTGTACAGCCTTTTTCTCATAGCTTATAAGTTCATTATCCTCTATTTCTATTGTCAGTTGTGGTAATTTTGTAAAGATTGAGTTTGTGGAAAGAGGTAGTCTGATCCATTTTACCATTATTGTTTGTTCTTGTACTTGTTTTTTTGGAGGAGGTCTTCTTATTGGAATGGTCATTTTCTTGTCAAGGGTGTTTATTTTCTTTGTTTGAAGAATGTTTTTTTTGTTTTCAGAGTTTTTGTTTCTGAAAATTGTGATTCATTTTTTTGGAATGTTTTAGGTTTTTAATGTTTTGTTCTCCTTTTCTGAATTTGACAGTTAAATTTGTTTTAATTTTTTATTTTAACTTATTTTTCTCAATTTTAATTTTAATAATTATTTTTTATTTTAAAGATTATTTTTTATTAAATTTTTTATTTTGTTTTATTCCCAAATGAAATCATTAAATTTTACTAAAAGATTCCTCCCCAATCTCCAAACTAAATACACTGCTCATTTGTATTTTAATAAAATATTGGAAGAATTAAAAAATTACACTCCTTTCTCAGAAATATTTCTTTTTAAAGTAAATAAAAAAGAAGCTCCCACTTACTACGATATAATAAAAGAACCAATGGATTTAAACACAATGACCAAGAAAATACCACTGTACACTTTAGAAACATTCATTTATGACCTTAACCTTATTTGGGATAACTGTTGTATTTTTAATTATGGTGTCTTTTTTTATATAAATTGTGCAAATAAAATGAGATTAAAAAGTAATTCATTAATTGAATATTATTTTAATAAAACACTAGGATCTTTTAAAGGAGTCACTTTATGCACAGGAGAAAATAATTTTATTTTTAATTCTTTTTTAAATTTAAAAAATAAAATTATTTTCAAAAATACCAGTCATAATTACGTACACAAATATTTTACTAAATTAATCAGTAAAGAATTAATTAATAAGAAGATTAAGAAGAGTAAGAAATCATGTTTAGATTTATTAAGTGATGTGGTAATTTATCTAATTATAAAAGATTTAAAAAATAAATATTAAATAAAAAAATAAAATAATTTATTTAAATTATCTTTCTGGTGACTTATTTTTCTTTTTAGGTTGTAGTACAATGTCTTTACCTTTACTAATTTCACTTGGCTTTACTATTTGTAAGTCATTAGAACTATTAAATACTTTCTTCTTTTTCATTTAAAAATACCCCTTTTAAAAATTAAATTAAAATATTTGACTATTTCTAAGCCTATTTCAAAAGAAAAAGACTACTTTCTAAGTCATTTTAGTTTAACATAAATGTAACATTCTTACTTTAATAAAAGTAAAACTGACTAATTTATGTAGAAGGGGTATAAATTTACAATTTAAATATTTTTAATTTTCTAGAAAAAAATAATAAATTAAATTGTTTATTTTATTATTTTTTTATTTTAATATTTGTTTTAATCCATGCATCCGTGCTTAGATGAAAATTGCCCAGGCACATGTAAATTACAACACCCCACTTGGCTATTTGACCCACCAGAGTGGATACATTCAAAAGTATTAGAAGGGATGCTAGAATTCTCAATGGAAGAAATTAGACTTCATTTTCTTAAATCACCAGCTAATTTCTTTGCAGACTGGGACAGCCTTTTTCTAAACAATTATTTTTTAATTTATGATAAATTAAATTCTATGCATAAACCTATTTCTATGAGTCAAAGGTATTTTGATTTAAGAAGAATGAATAATCCTCCTATGTTTGATAAAAGTAAATTTTTTGAAATTAAAAGAAGAANGAGTGAAAAAATAGAGGTGGAAGAAAGTATACTTAGCTATAATGAAAGAAGAAACCAGGGGTTTGGTGATAGAAAGAAGTATTCTGATGATAGAAAAGAATATTTCGATGGTAGAAAAAAATATTCAGATGACAGACAAAATTTTAGTGAAAGGAGAAATTATGAAGGAAGAAAAGAACATTATGATGGCAGAAAAAAATACTTAGATGACAGACAAAAAAACTTAGACGACAGACAAAGTTTTGATGGTAGAAAAAAATTTACGGATGAAAGACAAAATTTTAATGATAGGCAAAATTTTAGTGACAGACAAAATTTTGATGGTAGAAAAAAATTTACAGATGAAAGACAAAATTTTAATGACAGAAAATACGAAAATAAAAAACCTTATTTTGATGACAAAAGGAGAAATTTTCACGATAAAACCTATTATGATAGCAAAGAAAAAAATTATTATGACAATAAAGAAAGAAATTACTACGACAATAAAGAAAAAAAATATTATGACAATAAAGAAAGAAGAAATTATTATGACAAAGAAAAAAGATCTTTTATAGAAAAAGATTTTTTTTATAAAAAAGAAGATAAGAAAAATGATTTAATGGAAACAAAGGATGATAAAATTTTTAAAGATTTTGCATCGGAAGATGAATTAATTTAATTAAAAAAATATTATGAATCATTTTGTTTGGGTGATTGTGATAGAGGACACACATAGCTTACTGAGATAATATTATGATTATCTTTGGAAGTATTTTATAAATAAATTTTTAAAAATAAGCCTTTTATTTAATTCAATAATTCTTTAAGTTAAGTATTTTAACTATCAGAAAATTTATTTATTAATATTTATTAATTTAATTACTTGTCAATCTATTTAAGGCTGTATAGCTCAGTTGGTTAGAGCATCCCCCTAGTAAGGGGAAGGTCGAGAGTTCGACTCTCTCTGCAGCCTTATTTTTATAAATTATAATTTTAAATTATTTTGCATATAATTATGAATAATTTTGCATTTATTTTGAATTTTTTTGCATTTATTTTGAATTATTTTGCATATAATTATGAATAACCCTATAAATAAAAAATACTAAAATTGAAATAAAATAAATTAAATATCCGAAAAATTTGATAAAAAAAAATAATAAAAATATTTTTAATTAAATTTATTAGTAAATTCTTATGGTTTTCAATAGAGAGGATCTTTCAGCCGTAAATCTAAAAAGACCTCATTTTCTAATGGGCAGTGAAAATGAGAACGAGGTTGCTGCAGCACAGTCTTTGGGATTTATTAAAGAGAAAAAGAATGTGCAACATTTGCAACTTTTAGATGATGCTAACAAAAACGTAAAAATTGAAGATTTCTTTGCGTTTGCGTTGTCCCAGGTCTTTTAGGCATAGAAAAGCATTTTTAAGAAAATATTTTTCGAAGGATCATAGGTAGAAATCGGTATTATTATCGGGTTTATATGCTTTAATTCTTTTGATAAATGTTATTTAAAAAATGCTTTCGTAAACTTGGAGTAGCATCTGAAAGTTTTTTAATTAAGGGCCATACCTTACAGAGGATTGTACCATAAAAAATAATGCAAACCGACCTTCTTCTTGGTGGACTTGGTGTAAAGGTTCAGATTGATGAATTTATATTGCCTAAAAATGTATAATTGAAAACACTTAGTAAAACAACGATGTTTTTTGAAGCTGTTTGTTGTAATACAAACGAGTGTGTTTTAGTTCCTGTTGAAAATCATACCGAGATTGAGTTATTAGCAATATTTCTAAAACACATCTAAGCGGGAGGTGGTATTTTATCTGATCAATAGCCATCATACAATAATCTTGAACTAAATTATTAGTCCCACTATACTGTTCATCACTGCAAAAATTTTATTGATCCTTCCACAGACGCTAACACGCAATTAATTAAAAATGTGTAGATGATATCAAAAAGAAAAAAAAAAGAAACTGGAACAAGAAGAGGTGTGGTAGAAAGCCACCGTAAAATTTATGTGTGGGCTTAAGTATGGAAAAGATGCCTTTAAAATATAATTAAACATATTAATGAGTTTTATCAATTAAATATATTTTTATTATATTTTTTAAATATTAAATTTTTATTTATTTATTTAAAATTCTAACCCCGGGGAAATAAGAAAAAGAACCCATTTTTTATTATTTTTTCTGAAGTTTAGTAAAACTTTTCATTTTTTAACGTTTGAACCTTGTCCTAAGTAAGGTATTGAAAAATTGTTAAATGGCTCAATTTAAATATCAAAGTTAAAAGATTTCAAGTTATTTGCTTTTTAAAAGAATTAAAACTAAGAAATGTTTTAGAATTTACTATTTTTTATCACTTTAATGCGACAATATTTCTTTTTCATATTAAGTCGAATGTTAGAACATCCATAAAACTATGATTGTCGTACCGTGTAAGTACCAAGTCATTATATTAGAAATATCTTTTCAAAAAATATTGGTTTTCTACTTTATTTGATGGTTCGTTAAGTCTTTTCATTCCAAATTTTTTTCATTAAATATTTGATAAGTAATAAAATAAATTTAAATAAAAAATCTTATTTAATTTTTCACATTATATATTTTTATTTTTTTATATTCCTGTTTTATTAATTTAATAAAAAAGCCTTTTGATCTTTCTTTCATATGTCACAAATAAAAAAATTTTATTTTTTTATTAATTAAAATTCTCGCTCTTGCCCAGTTTTAAATATACTTTAACCAAATAAATTTATTATTTTTCGATTTAAAAATTAATTATTGAATTAATAAAAAATTTTCTCAGTTTATTTAAAAAAAAGTTTTGTAAATTAAATCTATAAAAAATTAATTAATCAAAAAAAGGCAAAATTTCTTAAAAAGGTTTGTTAAATCAAAAATTTATTAAAAAAATTTTTTAAAACTCAATTTATCAACCTTTTAACTTTAACAATTTATTTAATTAAATTGTTTTTGATCAAAAATTACGAAAACGATCAAATTTAAAAAAATTAGAAAAAACTAACCATGTTCTTTTTCTATAAATTTGTACTCTCAACCACTTTTCTATCAATAGTTAAAAAAACAGTAGAAGAATACGACAAACTGGTATTGGATATTGATTCAGCTGTTACCACAAGAAACAACCTAAGTTACCTAGCGTTACAACTCAAACTAGGACAAGAATATCTTGGAAAGAAAGAAAAGAAACTAGTAATGTACAAGAACCTTAAATCTTTGCTTAGCGAAGTGTTANNAAGCTACTCTTCAATCTTAACTTCTCAAAAAAAGTTTGATTTTTACAGAAAAAAATTTGATTTATTTTTGAATAAAATCAAATTAAGTGTTGATTCTGGTAAATTAAAAAATGATTACCTCGTAGATCAAAAGATTTATAACAGTTTTTCTAATTGGAGCTCTGTAAACACAACAACTTTACCAAAAAATGATTTAGAAAGACAATTTGATCTTTTTTGCGTTGATTTACCATTCAATCTGTCAGCCAAAAAAACAAGTAAACTTTCTAATAAAAGAAATGAAATAAAAAAACTTATCTGTTCTTTTGCAGAAGGATATGTTTTACTTAAACAATTAGTTTTAATTACAATTTCTTTTGAAAAGTTAAAAAGAGAAAATAACAAAATTGGCAAATACTTAATTTTGTTAATTCAATCATCAATTAAAAGAAATGATAAGAAAGAATTTTTGTTTAAAAGTGTTGTAAAATCAGAGAAGAGTACTGAAAATTTGAGTAAAGAAAATATTTTTAGTGAAGAAATACCAAGTGAATTAGATTTTACCGAACAAAAATGTGCAGAACTTGCCTCTTTTTCTAAATTAAGAGAAGATTTACACCCGTTGACCAAAGAAGATAATTTAGCAAATGAAAGTGAAGATAATTCAGTAATTGAAGATAAAAATCAGTCACACTATGAAAGTGAAGAGAGTCAAGAGTCTTCCCAAGAAGTATTGGGTAAAGAAATTAACAAATATTCTCTAAATGAATCTGTTTTACTTAAACCATTTGGTAAGAATATTCTTAAATTGTTAGGTGCATTATAAATTAATCAGTAAAACAATTTATTTATTACTTTATTTATTTATTACTTTATCTATTTATTATTTTTATTTATTTTTTATTTATTTTTTATTTATTTTTTATTTATTTTTTATTTATTTTTTATTTATTACTTTATTTATTTATTACTTT